ATAAGCCGGTGCCTTTCGCAGTGTTTCCCATTTTCGTGGGCGATTTGTGAAGACACTTCGGCAAGACTAAAACATGAGAAGAGTGTGTATGCATACGCGATGCGTAATTAAATTGTAATCATCATCGAGTTGAGAAACTCAGAAGTATAATGAATATCTGCACTATATTAAATACTTCAGGGTTTCGATTCTCTCCGAAAAATAAATGGTGGACAAGTCATTACACATCATCCCAAATTCCATTTCTTATTTTAATATCCCATCCCATTAATCCCAAATTCCAATTTATATTTCATATTTTAATAATTATAATAATAGTAATAATAATAATAAAGGTAATAATGGTAATAATAATAATAATAATGGTAATAATAATAATGGTAATAATAATAATAATAATGGTAATAATAATAATAATAATGGTAATAATAATAATAATAATGGTAATAATAATAATAATAATAATGGTAATAATAATAATGGTTCCAAATTCCATTTTAATCCCCATTCCAAATTCTATTGATTTCGATTCCTATATTCCAATCACACATTCCAATCCTATCTGATTTCCTATTCCGAATCCTATTCCTAATCCTATCCTATTCACAATCCAATATCTAATTCCTATCCTATTTAAAATCCCATATTCCAATCCTATCCTATTCCAAATCTCATATCTCAGTCCTATTTCTAATTCTATAATTTGGGCAATGTGTAACAAAGGGTAACAATTATGCATCTGCACAGATTGTTACTGGGTTTGATCCTACATTTTATAACGGGACGGGTGTGATCCTACAGTTGTTTCAAAAATAAGTGAAACTGCGAATGACTTATTAAATCAGTTATAATTTATTTGATATAAAACAATTCTTGCTTTCGGGCAATTCATGATAGCTTTTGAATCGCATGGCCTTGCGCTGGGCAGCGATGGTTCATTCAAATTTCTGCCCTATCAACTTTCGATGGTAGGATAGAGGCCTACCATGGTTTTAACGGGTAACTTGGAATTAGGGTTCGATTCCTGAGAAGTCTGAAAACGGCTACATCCAAGGAAGGCAGCAGGCGCAATCCCGACACGGGAAAATGCTGCAATAATTCCAAAGGTGGAGTCTGAAAAAAGGCGCAATTGTGAGATGGAAAACTAAACGTGGAGTCTTAAAAAAGGGCTACCACATAGAAAGCGCAATCCCGACACGGGAAAATGCTGCAATAATTCCAAAGGTGGAGTCTGAAAAAAGGCGCAATTGTGAGATGGAAAACTAAACGTGGAGTCTTAAAAAAGGGCTACCACATAGAAAGCGCAATCCCGACACGGGATTAAATAATTTTTTGGGTTGGTTGTGCATGCATGGAAAACTAAACGTGGAGTCTAAAAGAGGGCTACCACATAGAAAGCGCAATCCCGACACGGGATTAAATAATTTTTTGGGTTGGTTGTGCATACTTTGATAACATTTGAGCGGTAATTATGGGTCTGGGCAGCCCATTATAGCGTTTTTGATTTGTTTCATGAAATTAATTTTGGGTCTGGAGTGCCCTTTCGTTGTGTGTCGGGGAGACCAGGTTCATTATCTTTTTTCATGAAATAATAAAGAACGGCACGGTTAGAACGAAATTAAGCGAGTGGCAATAACAGGTCTGTGTAGCAATTATTGCTTCTCATTGAGGGATAACGAGTAAGATCTGCTTAATTTCGTTTCTCCTAAAAGGGCGTGGGGCGCCTTTTAGATGTGAGAATACATCATTTGATGGTCCACTTTGCAACAGGATGAAAAATAAAAAATTATGTATATGGATGCAATCACGAGTGAATGTATTCACCAATCGGATACATTTTCGAATAAAATAATCTAATAAATTAACAATTCATATTTCATCAATATTATTGTTTCACTATTTTCTAGTATAATTAAAAAGTAGAATATTATTATCAATGTATATTAAATTAACTTTCTGTCAAAGATATGAATCTCACATATTTTAATTTTTTTCAGAGATAATATTTAAAATCACAGATTTGCCTAAATACTATCTCAAAGATATTTATTTCAAGTTTTAAAATTTTCTTAATCAACTTATTTGATATATTTTCAAATTTTATTTGTATGTAATTAATGAAAATTATGAAATTGTGTCAAAATTCCATTAAAAAATGAAGACTTGTAAGTATTTTGTAAAATTATATTCATTCTTTTGATATATTTTGATATGTATTTATTTATTAATAAATCAAATACTTATAGTAATAATTTATATATTTTATTATTATTATTAAATATAAATCTTATAATATTTTAAAAATTTTTATAACAATTAGAAGTTTTTCATAATATTTTCATTCATAATAATATATATAATACTATTTGAATTCTATTTGTAAGAACTTTATTAATATGAAAAACATAATGATAATTATCTTTTTTATTACTATTATCATTATTATTATTATTATTATCTTTTTGGTATGAGTTCTAAGATGGAAATAAATATTTAACCTAATATTACAAAAGTACATAACAAAAGTGATCACGTACTTATAATATTATTTGAAAGAGTCTTTAAAAGATTTATTAATAAGAGTATAAATATTATTATTTATCTAAAGATAGGTAATGATAGTATTCTTGTTGTGATTAACTAGAATGTAATTCAATTTCAAAATATAATTTCAAGATAAATGTATTATTCAGTTTATTAATAAGATGAAATAATAGATCTTAATCAAGATTTATTTTACAAGAGAGATTCCTTAGAATTCTTTTAAAATTATAATCTACTAAAATATAAATTAAGAATTAAACTCATAAAACTCAAATTAAACTAAATAATTAATTAATTAACTAATAACTATCTTATTAATTATCTATTCAAATTTACTAGTTAAAATATATCACTTTTATATATTTTAGAGATTATACAAATAATACTTTTGTTATGATATTTATGTTAGTTTTGTTATAATCTAAATATTACTTTAGCTAGTATTATAATATTGATTTTGTTATGATAGTATTGTTAGTTTTATTATAATAGTTTTGCTAACTTTGTTATAATAATTTTATTATAATCATCATGTTTACAAAATCTTCTAAAAATATCTACAAATAATATTTTCTAAAACTAATATCTAATAAGATATAAATAATTATTTATCCAATCATATTATGATATGAAGTGATCAATAATATATAATTAACTAATATTTTACTAAAATTCATATTAGAATACTATTATTATAATTATCATTATTATTATTATCATTATTATCATTAATAGAAATAACATAATTATATTCTTTTCACTTAGCTTAAGTTATGATATGTAAATTATAAAATTCAAATCATTTAAGTGATAAATCAATCATAAAATTCAAGTTTTTCAAGTGATAGATCAATTATAAAACTCAAATTACTCAAGTGATATATCATTTTGATAAATACTTGTATATTTTTTAGAAAGTCAAATTTATATTAATAATATTTTAATTACTCATATAAATTTCTGTATATTAGCTTAATATTTCTGATTAATTTTTATTATAAAGAAATATTTGAATTAGATTATGATATTATAATTTAATTTTTCTATATTTCTTATTATAATTCAAATTTGATAATATTACTTATATGCTGATTTGATAATTAATTTTATAAAGTTATTATAAGTTTAAATATAATTATATTATTTATAGAGATATATATCAGAATATATATTATTAAATATATTATATACAAGACAAACTTGATAAGATAAAGATTGAAAGAAGAGATAATTTATTTAACTTATCAAGATTTTTATTTTACTAAATTTTATACAAAGTCAAATTTATATATAATAAAAAATTTGGTAGATCAGAAAAAACTTTAACTTAATATAATTTTGGCTTAGTATGACTTTATCTTAATGAATTTGTCTTATATATACTATTTGATTATATTATTAATTAATATTACTAAATATATATAAAGTATATTATGTAAATATTATTAATAATATTATCAGATTATATTATCAAAAAATATTATTAAGTATATTATATAATTATTATCAAATATAAGTTATATAATTATTATTAAGTATAGTATCAAATATGTTAAATATATACTATCAGATATATATTACATAATTATTATTAAGTATATTATATTTTTACTATTAGATATATTATATAATAATTTTGATTAGATTATTTTTCTTTAGTTTAAATCTTTATTTTATGTTATTTATATTACAAATTAATTTTATATTATTTTTCTTTAAAGATCAATTTCATTCTAAATATACAAATAATCATTATGCATTTAATATATTAAATTTAGTATATTGTCATATAAATAATTACTATATATATTATAATTATTAATTTAGATTATTAATATTTTAATTATATTTATTATTAATATTTTTTTTATATTTTTATTTATTCTTTTTATTTATTATTTATATTATTATTTATATCATTTATAATTATTAAATTATAATTAGTTACTCTTCAGAAATGTGAATTAAGTTAATTAATTCTGTTTAATCCATATATATTTTAATTATAGATTATTATTAATTTATTTATATTTTATATTTATTTCTTTTCTTATAAATATAATTTATCTGTTCTGTATTTTTATCTCAGATCTGAATACTTTTAAATAATAAAAATAATTATAAGTTATAAAATTAAAATTGTTTATATCATATTTTATTTTATTTATAATCATTAATAAAATAATCTTACAACTTGATAATAGTAAATACAGTTATTATAAAGATCATTCTTTAACATCTTATTATATATTATAACTCAAAATAATTTATATAATTTATATAAAGTATGATTGAACTTATCAAAATAATTAAAGAAAATAATTCTTCTAATCCTAAGTCTTTATCTCATTTTTCAATTAAATTATCTTCTTATTTTAAAAAATTAAATAAAAATATACTTATTTAGATTATGCAAATAAAAACTATTATTTTGGTCTAAGAAATTTTAGATGAAAAGATCTAAATATAATAAATCTTCATCTCTTTAACCAATATAATTTTATATTGATATCTTAATAAATACAAAGTTAATGATAATACTACATCTTATAATAATTAGAAAAATTTTATCACAACATTAAGAGAAATATTCCAATTTTTATATTATCAGTAATATTTCTATAAATAACTTTATCTTTTTTATCAAACTGGATCTATTCAAGACTATAACATCAAATTCAGAAATATAATTAGATAAATTACAAACATAAGTATCTTAGATTAGATTATATATTTTATAAAAGATCTAAAATCAGTTACAAAGATAAAGATAAGTAATCAGGTATCAGAAACTTTAGAAGATGCTTAAAAATTAGTAATCAGATATGATACTGTTATATATGGACAAGACAGATCTTTAGACCTTCCAAGCAGATATAATAATAATAGTTATTACTCACAAAATCAGTATAAAAGTTATTAGAATAATAGTTTTATACTAATAAAACTTGATTAAGTAGAGAATTATTATAATAACAAAAAGAATCACAATAATTAGAAGAATAATAAATTCAAAAATACATGTTATAACTATGATAAATCAAATTATTTCACCAAAAATTATTATTTCAAATCAAAGACAAAGATTATAAATATAAAAAATAAGCAAGAAGAATCTTTACAATTTTATGAGAGAGTAGAGTTTGCTTATTTAGAAAATAATAAAAAAAGATTATTAAAATTCAATAATCAAGTTAATAATAAACCAGCATGAATTTTACTAGATAGTGATATATTCAGAAACTTTATAGATAAAAAATTTATATTGTTATAATATGAACTTTTAGTAGAATATTAGTTAATTTTATTATTGATTATTTCATATCACAATATAATTAGATGAATAATTACTTATATCTTATTGGATATTAGCTTTAGAGAATATTATTTATAGATATTTTTAGAAGGTTTTGCAAACATAATAATTATGACAAAATTATCATAGCAAAGTTAGCAAAACTATCATAACAAAACTAATAATACTATTATAACAAAATTAACATTATGATACTAGCTAAAGTAATATTTAGATCATAATAAAATTAATATAAGTATCATAACAAAAGTATTATTTGTATAACCTCTAAAATATATAAAAGTGATATATCTTAGCTAGTAATATTAGGATAAATACTCATCTCCATCTCAAAACTCGTATTAAAAAGATAATAACTTTTTGATACCCTCTTTATAGAAAAATAATTTTATAGAATTATCAAATTCAAGTCAGATTTAGAGAAAGAATTCTCTGTGAATTAAAATTGAAATTATTAAAGAATCAAAGATAATTAAAGAAATAATTTTGCAATATATCCAAAGTGAATTCAACTAAAGAAACTAAAGTAGAAAGAAAAAGACTCTTTACTCAATTATTTACTGAGTTACATCTTGAAGACTATATCAAACCTAACTGATAGATTATTTGTGACAAATTCTATCACTTTTATCAAGAAGTAATATATAATGAAACTCAAATCAAGATAAGAAAAGAATTTGCAACTTTAATTGAAGAAGAAACTGACCTATCAATAGAACAAGTACAGATATATCTCTATAAATTATAACAAGAGATATTTGAATTTAAAGATAAGAGAACTAAATACCTAACAGAATATAGGTAAAGAAAGTAATAAGATATACCTGTAGAAGTATCTAATCCAAGTCAGTCAAAGTTAAATAAAAAACTATTAGATACTTTACAACAATTTGGAAAATATAATCCAGATACTCTTAAATAAATATTAACATAATCACTACTTAATAAATATTTAGAAATATAGTTAATCATTCAAGACATACCTATTACTTTAACTTTTATTTCTCTAATACTACTTGAAGAAGAAGAGATAAGTAGAGACAAGAAGAATAAAATATCATTTTCATCAACTACTAATAATAGATTTGAAGATTTGATATATAGGATTGGAGTACTTGCTGTAGCTCTAGAAAGACTAAAGGAAGCCAATACACCAAAATTATAGAATTCTATAATAATACTCAAGATCCAATTGGTTGACTTCAAGACTTTGAAAATATCTGTGTCACTAATAATATTAGTAATAACAGAAAAATTCAGATAGTAAGAACTTATCTGAAAGATTCAGCTATCACATGGTATGCTAATGAAAAATTATATAATCAAGAATAATTAGAAACTTAAAGTTATGCTAATGATACTAATCTAAATACAAAAGAAGTTTTATTTATATATCAATTTGAAAAGTACTTTAGAAATCATGATCAAATATATAAATAGTAACAATAATTAAAATAAAGAAAATAGTTATCTGGTAAAAGCATAGAATAATATGCTGTAGCTATCAGAGAATTAATTAGAAGGGTAGATTCAACTAATACTTATCCAGTTCACTTATATGTATCTTACTTTATAGATAGGCTTAGATCAGAAATCAAATTTTTTGTAAATTTAACTCATCTTGCAATATTAAAAGAAATAATTAATGTAGCAATTGCTTATAATTCTAACTTTTAATAATATAATACTATATTAAATAGCCTACCTTTCTTGTCAATGCCTCCTGTAGAGACTGAAATCAATAAGTTAGCAGAATAAATTAAAAGTATCATTTCAAAATTAGAAAAGTTAGCAATTGCTAATCAGTCTAATAATCACTCTAATAATAGAAATAATTCTATTAGATATAATAATTGTGAAAAATTTGATTATATCACAAATGAATGTAAAAGTAGAAGAAATAATAACTATAATAATAATAATTTCAATAATAATAATAATTTTAATAATAATTTTAATAATAACTTCAATAATAATAACTCAAGAAATAATATCATCTGTTATAACTATGGAGATACTGATTATATTGCCAGCAGATGTACTAGTTCAAGAAAGAATAAAAATAGTCAGAACTAAAGATGGCTTCTCAATTATTACAATATGATGATAAATAAAGTATCACCTAGTTGCAACTAGTTGTGACTTATAAAATTTTGGAGTTATAACGTGTTGCAAAAGATAATAAATAAGTATTATATACTTATTATATCATCTTTAATTAGAATAATAATAATTGTAATAATCATAATAATAATAGAAGAAATAATAATAATAATAATAATAACAAACAAAATGCTTATCTAAATACTGAAGAGCATTTAAACTCTTAAATGCATCTTTAGAAGGTGAGAGTATATTCACAATCAAAAAGTCTTCAGTTAATAATGATTAGCTCAAGAAATTATTAATAGAAAATAAGAAAGAAAATTAACAAACTCAACAAATATCTATAGATGCTATATATATGAATAGGCTTATTAATAATCAATCTTACAAAATAATAATTAATAGTGATACTGTGAGCAATATAGTTATCTAGTAATTCTTGAAGAAGATAGAATGGAAAATTCA